ACTCAGGAGGCTGAGGCAGGAGAATTGCCTGAACCCAGGAGGCGGAGGTTGCGGTGAGCCAAGATCGCGCCATTGCACTCCAGCCTGGGTAACAAGAGCGAAACTCCGTCTCAAAAAAAAAAAAAAAGAGTGTGAAGCCCACTTGACCATTTACTCTGCGATCTTGTGCAAGTAACTCACTCTCTCTGTGCCTGCTTGATTAAAAGGAAATCTGTAAACCCAGGGAGACAATATAACCTCAACTCATGGGCTTGATTCAAAGAGTGAGTGAGCGAATATTTATAAAGCAGAACAATGTCTGGTGCATAGTGCATGTTCCGGAATCTTCCTGGGCCACAGAATAGAATAGAATTATATTCTATGAATTCAAGGGAAAGTCTTCAAATGAGGAAAACCTGAGGACAATGGTCCTATTGGATTCAGGTGCCCCAGTGCCCCAGCAACAGAATGTGGCAGGCACAGGCAGGAATCTCACAAGGACATACAAAACAGAGGAAGCTGGAGAGTCATGGCTAGAAGCCTGACTTCTTTTTTTTCTGATATGAAGTCTTGCTCTGTTGCCCAGGCTGGAGTGCAGTGGCACGATCTCAGCTCACTGCAACCTCCGCCTCCTGGGTTGAAGTGATTCTTCTGCTTCAGCCTCCCTAGTAGCTAGGATTACAGGCATCTGCTAGCATGCCCAGCTAATTTTTGTATTTGTAGTAGAGACGGGAGTTTCACCATGTTGGCCAGGCTGGTCTTGAACTCCTGACCTCAGGTGATCTGTCCGCCTCAGTTTCCCAAAGTTCTGGGATTATAGGCGTGAGCCACCGCACCTGGCCTTAGAAGCCTGGCTTCTGAAGCCGGACTGGGTTCAAATCCTGTCTCTACCACCAGTGAGGGGTGTGACTTTGAGCAGGTCACCCTCCGGCTCTCTGTGCTCCAGTTGACTCTGTTGTAAAGGCCAGAAAAGCCCCGGCCTCCCAGGGTGGAGAGGAGCCCAGCCCTGGCTCTCCCAGCAGCTCACCGCTCTCTGAGGCCCTGGTACTCGGCCCACTCGCTTGTGGGTTCAAGTCAGCTAAGTCCTTTCTGCTCTTCAGACCTCAGTTTTCCCATCCTCAAAAATGGGAAACTCGACTGCCTTACCTCCGTGTAAGAGGGAGGAGAAAGGAAAGTCGACATTTCCTAGGCACCTGTCCTGAGGCCCAGTGGGCCTGTCCTGAAGCCCAAGATGAAGCCGTCAGAAGCAGTGACGCAGGACTCCAATTCCCCTGGGTCTGGTTCCAAATTAACCCACCAAGCTACTGTTTCTCAATAATTCTATGGAAAAAGCCCCTGGAGAGCTTTTGAAAGCCATGCCCTTGGAAACCCAAGCAGAGACAAAAGGGCCTCCCCGGCCTCCCCACCTCAGTAAGGATCCCCGTGCTCAGCTGAAGCCTCAGGAAGACACTTACAAAACGGCGCCAGCAGCGGCGATGCCTTTTCCACGTTGCTGATGGAAAAGCCACCCCCAGCTGTTCCCGCCAACCTAGGTCTCCGGTGAGGACAGAGGAGCATCCCCAACGGTGCCACTGGTCCCGTTCCCAGCCCACCCAAGTGTGGAGAGTGAAGAAACAACGTACCCCAAAGCTTGGCGTCTCTGCCCGACCTGCCGCGGCAGGGTGTGGGACGCCTCTCTCTGGGCTCAGCGAAGGCTCCCAGACGTCGTCTCTTCCAAATTCCACCGCACAGCCAGCTCCTTCTCTTCAATGAAGGGTCTGCAGGGCTGACTTGCTCCTTAAGGTCCCTAGACTATGACGGGACACCCCGTGACTCCAGGAAAGGGACTCTAAGAGGCATGGATGGGAGTAGGGGAACCAAACCACTGAAAGCTCCTGGAGACTCGAGGCAGAGCGAATCTGGGAACAGGGCAGGCGTCCCAGAATGGGATGTGGAGGGTGGGGGTGTCCTGGGGCTACCACAGGGAGGCACTCGACGCAGAGCCCCCTCCGGAGCCTGGCACTGCCGCCCGCACCCTCTACTCCCTGTGCGCCAGCCCACAACCCTCGGCGCTGCCCGGTGCTGCTCGCCCGGAGCGCACACAATGAGGCGCTTTCAGACGTGGCTGCGGTCCCTGGGTGGCCGGCAGGAGCCAGGACGGTGGGGGAAGGAAGGAGCCGGTTGGCCCTAGGCTCCCTCTCCCCACCCCCGACCAGGGGGCCACGCCTCGGGGGAGGGGCGCTGGCCGAAGGCAGGGCAAGAGGGCCCAGGTGGGCTGGGCTCTGAGAGGCGCACCGTTTAGCCGAGGATGTCGAAGGGCGCTGGCAGAGTTACCTCTCATCCAACTGACCACAAATGAACGTCGTACCCTACCCCCCGCCCAATCCCCAGAGAAAGGGAGCTCCTGGACAAAGATCCTATCGAAGGAAGTAGAATCTTAATCTTGGCCCTCCTCGCCCTTGGGGGGCATCCTTGCAGCGAAGTGACTTGGAATCCAACCCTTCCCAATGCCCCAGCCTCAGCCCTAAGCCAAGACCCAGGCACTTGGATAACACAGGGACTCCGTGCAGTGTCCCAGCTGGGAGAGGCAGAGAGACCAGGTGGCCTTAGGAGCTGGACCCGCAGCTGTTCCCCTCCTCCTGCTCATTTCCTTTTTTTTTTTTTTTTTTTTTTTTTTTTTTTTTTGGTTTTTTTTTTTTTTTTTTTTTTGGAGACGGAGTTTCGCTCTTGTTACCCAGGCTGGAGTGCAATGGCGCGATCTTGGCTCACCACAACCTCCGCCTCCTGGGTTCAGGCAATTCTCCTGCCTCAGCCTCCCGAGTAGCTGGGACTACAGGCGTGCGCCACCATGCCCAGCTAATTTTTGTATTTTTAGTAGGGACGGGGTTTCACCATGTTGACCAGGATGGTCTTGATCTCTTGACCTCGTGATCCACCCGGCCACCGCGCCCGGCCTCTCCTGCTCATTTCCTGCCCTAGCCTTGGCCGAAAGAGGCGTAGGCTTCATAGCAGGTCCAGATAAAGACATGAAACGTTTCAATAAATAAATAAGGTATTTTCCCCTTACAGATAACAGGGCAGAGACCAGGCATCTGAAGAGGATAAAGCATTTGAAGGTCTTGTAATCAGTGATGTGATCTTAAACAAGAACTCCCTGCTGCAGGGAGAAGAAATGAGCAGTCTTTCCTGGTTGTGGTTTGGCAAGATGAATTACAATCCTTAACAATGGTCATAAACTTTTTGGATTGGAAATTCCTTTCTGGGGTCTATCTTAAGGAAATAAACCAGAAAGAGATTTATATAAAGGGTTCACATAAGTGTTGTTCATGATTTTGATTGTGATTTTTTTTGAGACGGAGTCTCGCTCTTGTCACCCACGCTGGAGTGTAACGGTGGGATCTCGGCTCACTGCAACCTCTGCCTATAGGGTTCAAGTGATTCTCTTGCCTCAGCCTCCTGAGTAGCTGGGATTACAGGTGCCCACCACCATGTCCAGCTAATTTTTTGTACTTTTAGTAGAGACAGAGTTTCACCATGTTGTCCAGGCTGGTCTCGAACTTTTGACCTCAGGTTATCCACCCACCTTGGCCTCCCAAAGTGCTGGGATTACAGGTTTGAGCCACTATGCCTGGCCTGTTCATGATTTTTTAAAAGTTAGAAATAGTGTACAGGATAGAAAGATGTGTGCCGGAAGGCCACCATTATAACTCTGGGTAGGGGATTGGCAGGCAGTCATTATTTTACTTAGGATCATGTAATTTACATTTCCTTAATAGATATTGAGAACTTACCTGGCCAGAAAGATCCAAAACCTCTTTACAAAGCATGAATAAGGAGATGGGGAGAGGAAGTGGGGGTTGGGGTAAGAGGGTGGCAGAGAGAATTGCTTTAATAAGCTTCAAGATGGGAGCTTAGTGGGGCATTAGACACCTGACCTGCCTTGGCAGAAACTGGACTAATCATTTGGAAGAATTAGGAATTTATCTCAAATATGACTTATCTATGGATTACAGCTCAGTTGATAATATCCTGCATATTTCTTACCTTTCTTTCTCCTGCAACTATGCTGTGTGGTTCCGTTTCAGAAGCTACCAACATATGATCTGTAAATAATTTGATATTCGCCAGACATAGTTGTAATTTTCCAACCCGTGGTTTCCATATGCCATGTGGATTCCACTAAAAACTAATATACTTGGGGTTGGACCAGGAAACTTTTGCCAAAGAGCTAACAAAAGCTCCAAGGTCTTGGGGCAGAGCCCTGGCAAAGCAAGGCTGCTGGTGAGTAACTCGGAGAAGTGTGCTCAACTTCAGCGCTCCCTATTCTTCCTTCCTCCAAAGCCCTGATTCAAAAAAAGTGAATACAACCTTCCATGTTGAACATTTTAATTAGTAAGCTACAGAACGTAATGCATTCTTTATACAAGTTTTGCATTCAAATAATTTAATAAAATCCAAACCAAAGTTTATACATATCTTTAGCCATCTTTCCATGTTTCATTACCTTTCGGGGATTTAAACCGCCAACAATTTTTTAGTTTCAGTCTCAAGAGACCAGGCACACTGGCTCATGCCTATATTCTTGACACTTTGGGAGGCTGACACAGAAGGATTGCTTGAGGCTAGGAGTTCAAGACCAGCCTGGGCAATATAGTGAGGACCCGAATCTATAAAAATAAATAAATCTCAAGAAAAAAAATTAGTCATATAAAACAGCCTGAATATGAAAAAAAGACTAGGGGGACAGTGTTAGGGAATTCCTCTGCTTGTATACTTGACAATAGCTTTGTTTCCAAAACTGTTTTTAGTCAGCCTAAAGGAAACGGTGCTGGAGATGAGAGCTGATCTCCAAGGTAAACGGAGGCACATACTAAGAGGTGTGTTTGTGGGCATGATGCATAAATCACAGAGGCCATGTCTTCCAGTGGCAACGACCTGCTTGGGATCAGGAAGCAGCTCCATCTGTCCTTAGAGGAGACGGCTCGCGTCCTCAGGAGGTGAACAGGCTGAACAAGCCGTCTTCCATGTGCAGAGGCCCCTTCCAGCCATCTCTGCTCCCGCAGACACTTGCTCAGCCACCCTGGTAATCCAGCTGGACTGCTTGGCATTCTGCTAGTGGCCAGGCTGGACTGGCCTGCCCGGGCCAGCATCCTCCTTACTCCCTCACTGCTTCTTGTGTCCTTCCCAAAGCTGCCCGCCCCACTCTAATGAGCACCCTGTTCCTTAGTCAAGGGAAACACAAGCCGCTGGGCTTCCCGCTAGCCTTCCAAATAAACTTGTGGTTGTTAGGCAGTGGGAGCCAATCCCAACACCAACTCTTGTCACCCCTGTCCTTTCCAGAAGCGGGAGGGCTGTCAAGGAGGAGGAGGGCCAAGTGCCCAGGCTGTTGAGTGAGGGCCAGAAAGAACCTGTTGTGACAACCTTTTCTTCCCCCAGTGCTGCTGAGGGGGCTGGGAATGAACAGCCCCTCTGACTTCAGCCTGCCATCCAGGGGCGCAGACAGAGGGCAAAACAGGGCAAAGAGCCAGCCACAGGCAGGCAGGCATCCAGGGCTGCTCCGCTGAGCTGATGACAGATGACTGACTTTCGGGCCGAGGCAGGTGGACGGTCCGAGTGTCCTTCAGCGGCCCTCCCTCATGCCTGTGCCAAGGCGGCCCTCCCCCTTGGGCCCTGCCCCTCTAGGTCTGCAGCGAAAGGCCTCAGCTCTGGAAATCAAAGCTCTGAATGGGAAATGGAGAGGCCCAGGGGTGCAAAGTGCTAGTGATTGGCATGTTTGTCACAAGGGAGCCCTGAAAAGAGTAAGAGTGGCTCACAGTAGAAGGAAGAAATGCACAGTGTGTTTCTCACTCAACAGAGGAAGTCTCTGCTTGACCAGAGATGGGACTCTTTCCAAGATGTCTGAACTGACTGCAATTTTCTCCTGAAATTCAACGCTAAGTCAAAGAAGAAAAACCCAAAAAGCTAATTACAGCCTCCAGGAACCCTCAGACCTTTTCACAAACTACTCCCTGATGATTCTGCAGGAGCTCTGAAGATACGGACTTTGTATAGAGCAAACGGAAGAACTGTTCTTTGTCTCCGAGGGGAAGAGCACACAAGCCCGCATGTGTCCCCTGGGCTCTTTCAGAAACATCCTAAGATGTTCCCAGGAGATGACAATGAGGCAGCCACCATCCTGCTGAGTCCTCAGAAATGGCCTTCCTAGGATAAGTGCTCCTTCCACACTTCTCCCAGGGGCATCGCTGTCACAGAGATGGTGGTCACAAAGATCTTGATTCTTTCAAACACCCAGAGGAAGATAAGCAGGATGCTGACATACTGCACCCAGGTGAGCTTTACCATCTCCCTGAATCCTGGCTGATAAGTACGGACAGTTAAGCAGTAGAGGGCCACATGCTATCAGTCAAAGTAAACTAAGGTTTAGGCCAGAAAGGAAATGGCAAGAATATTTCAAATACTCTTAGGATGAAAGGAATAATAAAAGATTATTAAGAAATAAATATGGATGATTCTGACTTAGAAGAATGGCTCAGAAAGAAATATGAACAGGAAATGACTTTCCCCCGTATAAAGAGCAGACACAGTCATTATGTCGGAATACAGTGCTGTAGCAATTTCCAATCAAAGGCTCCCCACAGCTGTTCCTGCTGGGGACAACTTTGGAATCTTCCCTTTTTGGAAACTGAGCTACCACCGCCTCTCTAACAGAAAGGATATAATATGGTTTCCACCGTGTATTGGATGACAGCATTAATCACAAATGGAGTTTCATGGCTCTGCCCACCCAGCCAGATAAAGTTGTGGTCATTCAGGATGGTGGCAACTGCAATACAATCATTAACCATTAATCAATCATGGGGCAGCCTTTTGGCAAAAAATGTTGAGGGCTACAAATATTCTTTTATTCCTGTGGGATATTCTGCACTTCAGAACAGAAAGAAATCATTTGAAAGCATAAACAGTTGCATGCACAAAGTAGATTAACAAATAATTTAAGATACTTGTCAAACAAAATATTTGATATGGTCTGGCTCCGTGTCCCCACCCAAATCTCATATGTCCCCACATATCAAGGACAGGACCAGATGGAGATAAATGAATCATGGGGGCAGTTTCCTCCATGCTGTTCTCATGATAGTGAGTTCTCACGAGATCTGATGCTTTTATAAAGGGCTTCCCCCATTAGCTCTGCTCTCATTCTCTCTCCTGCTGCCCTGTGAAGAGGTGCCGTCTGCCATGATTGTAAGTTTTCTGAGGCCTACCCAGCCATGCAGAACTGTGAGTCAATTACACCTCTTTATAAATTACCCAGTCTTGGGTGTGTCTTTATAACAGAGTGAGAATGGACTAATACAGTATTTATATTAAAATACGTCAAAAACTCAGAAGTGGTTGTGTGATCATCTACAGATGTTGAATGGCTAACTGAAGGAACAACATATTGCCACTCTAAATAATATCAGTTTGGCTGGGCAAAGTTGTGCAGGCTTGTAATCCAAAGGATCTGGGAGGCCAAAGTGGGAGGATCACTTGAGGCCAGAAGTATGAGACCAGCTTGGCTAACATATTGAGACCCTCTCTGTACCAAAAAACATAAAAAGCTGGGCATGGCGGCACATGCCTGTAGTCCCAGCAGCCCAGTAGGCTGAGGTGAGAGGATCACTGAACCCACAGGAGCTCGAGGTTACAATCAGCTGTGATTATGGCACTGCACTCCAGCCTGAGCATCAGAGCAAGACTCTGTCTGTTTAGGGGAAAAAAAATTAGAACTTTGTAGCAGCATGAGGAAATACTTAATTACATAGAAATACAAATAATGTGAATGCCGAAGTGTTTCAATACTATCGTGATAGGTATATTTAAAAAATCCACATAAAGAGTGAAAAAAGTAAAGAACAACACATCGATTTCTTGAGCCATGCTTTTTAGCTTTGTTTTAAAATTCCCTTTTTATTGTCTGCAGCTAGTGTATGACATAAAATCAGAAAGCAATGGTGGATTTGCAGTCGTCTCCTTTGTGAAATGTCTGTGTGTAGTCTCCCTGATATCTGGTTGCCAAGTAATACTGTAGATGCCTTTAGAGAAAACCTCAGCCACCGGCCAGCCAAAAGTGCCAAGTCAACACATGCCGTGGCCTAGAGCTCTGTAAGGAATGAGGACACTGTGCTTTCCGGTAGGAAGCATGGGCGCTCCTGTTCTCCTGCTGGACTGCTTACGTGGGGAGAGTCACCTATGTTCTCGTTTTCTCTCTGAAAAGTGTGAACAGCAATTTGTCTTTGGCATCTGTTATAGGTGTGGTATGGGGAACAACTCAATTAGGCTTATATTTTTAAAAAAGGTAGCTCACGCCTGTAATCCCACCACTTTGGGAGGCCAGGGTGGGTGGATCACGAGGTCAGGAGTTTGAGAACAGCCTGGCCAAGATGGTAAAACCTCGTCTCTACTAAAAATACAAAAATTAGTCGGGCGTGGTGGCGCATGCCTAAATTCCCAGGTACCCAAGAGGCTGAGGCAGGAGAATCGCTTCAACCTGGGAGGCAGAGATTGCAGTGAGCCAAAATTGCACCATTGCACACCAGGCTGGGCAACAGAGCAAGACTCTATCTCAAAAAAAAAGAAAACCCATCAAGCCAGTGAGATATGGACCATGGGATGCTGGGGGGGTGGGGGCGGTCCCGGTTCTGAAGATCAGGATGAAAAGGACAAATCCTAGACAGCACACTTGCTCCCATTGTTGAACATTCATGGGTTTTGACATTTACATCACAAGGGCTCCAGTTCTGTTTGTCTCTGTTGCCCCAGTAGCCTTGAAAGTTATGAGCTCTACCTGTGACTCACCGTTCCTTTCCTGGTAGGCAGCAACAATACGTGTCAGGTCATAATCATAGGCAAAGGGGCTGGTCCCGTTGATCACGGATACCTGGGACACGGGAGGAGGATGCGGTGTGAGCAGCTGGGAGTCTCCTCCTCTCCTCCTTCTACCCTCCTGACACCCAGGCTGGTCCCACAGACCACCCTTGTGGTCTTGGTGGCCTATTCCTGTGTCAATAATCTTCTCTTCAAAGATGAATAAACATTTGCAACAATTTAAGTTTATTTACTCTGTCCTTCCGTCTGTGGGGATGGAAATAAAGGGTCAGTGTCAATGTTTCATACGTTTTAAAGCTATTTATAAAATCTCTCTTTTGGCTGGACATCATGGCTCATGCCTGTAATCCCTGCACTTTGGGAGGCTGAGGCAGGAGGATTGCTTGAGGCCAGAAGTTCGAGACCAGCACAGGGAACATAAAGACCCCCATTTCCACTCAAAGCAAAACAAAACAAACAAACAAAAAAACCCCAACAAACTAGGCATTGTGGTGCCTCCAGTCCTAGCTACTAGGGAGGCTGAGGAGGGAGAACTGCTTGTACCCAGGAGTATGAGGCACAGTGAGTCATAGGTGGGCCACTGCACTCCAGCCTGGGCCACAGAGTGAGACTCTATTTTTTAATAAAAAAGTGGGGGTGGGGGCAGGCACAGTGGCTCACACCTGTAATCCCAGCATGTTGGGGGGCCCAGGTGAGTGGATCACGTGGGACCAGGAGTTAAGACAGCAGCCTGAGAAACATGGCAAAACCCCTTCTCTACAAAAAGTACAAAAATTAGCCAGGCATAGTAGCATGCACCTGTAGTCCCAGCTCACTACTCAAAAGGGGGGGGGTAGGAGGATCATCTGGGCCTGGGGAGGTTGAGGCTGCAGTGAGCCATGATCGTGCCACTGCACTCCAGCCTGGGTGACGGAGTGAAAGAAACCCTGTCTCTCTCTCTCTCTCTCACACACACACACACATAACAATTAATAAAATTGTTTTAAAAAGGGTTAGGTACGGTGGCTCATGTCTGTATTCCTAGTACCCTTGGAAGCTGAGGTGGGAGGGTCATTTATGACTGACAATTTCCCTTTTTCATCTTCCAGAGTATGGCAGCCCAAATTCTATGGTCCCCATTATGATAAAATAAAGGTGAGGAATGAGTGATTAGATGCATGAGTTCTGGACACAGAAAGTTCCTGGCTCTGTTATACTTTTTTTTTTTTTTTTTNTTTCTGGGTTTTTGTTTTGTTTTGTTTTTGTTTTTTGAGATGGAGTTTTGCTCTTGTTGCCCAGGCTGGAGTGCAATGGCGCGATCTCGGCTCACTGCAACCTCCACCTCCCGGGTTCAAGCAATTCTCCTGCCTCAGCCTCCCAAGTAGGTGGGATTACAGCCATGTGCCACCACACCCGGCTAATTTTGTTATTTTTAGTAGAGACAGCATTTCTCCATGTTGGTCAGGCTGGTCTCAAACTCCCGACCTCAGGTGATTTGCCCGCCTCGGTCTCCCAAAGTGCTGGGATTACAGGTGTGAGCCACCATGCCCGGTCTCTGGCTCTGATATACTTTCAAGCTTTGAGCCTTTGAGAAAATTAATCACTGTTAGCCCCAGTTTTGTCTTCTGCAAAATTAGTTCATTCTTTAAACAAGCATCTCTGTGAGCTTCCCATGTGCCAGGCAGGGTGCTAGGCACTGACGTGACAGTACATGAGATGCCACTGCTGTCAACACTGAGGGAGACAACAAATAAACACACAAACACGTGTCCTGAGTAGGCCAGGTGGCAGGAGGGAAAGTCTGGCTGAGGGATGATGGTGGGAGGGGTTGCTACTGCAGAGGCAGCTCGGGGAAGGGCTGTGCTCAGGGTTATCTGAACAGGGACCTGAACTGTGTGGTCCGCTAAGTCACGCGGATGCCTGGCAGAGAAGACGGCAAGAGCAAAAGCCCTGAGGTGGCAGCTGCTTCCTGGGTATGAGGAACAGCAAAAAGGCCAGGGTGGCTGGAAGGGAGCAAGGGGGACAGTGATGGGACAAGTGGCTGGGGAGCTGGGAAAGAACAGTGCGGGCGGCTCAGGGGTTGCTGTGATAATTAAAGGTGATGATACAGGTAAACCCCTGCACTCAGGGCTGGCCTATGTTATGGGTTGAGTAAACTGTCTGGTAGTATTTCTGAAATACTTTACATGAACATTTCACATGATCTCTTGGAAACACATACTCCAAGTGTGTGTATGGAAGAGAAAATGTGTTTGTGTGTGTGCATGTGTACACGTGTACCTAAAAGCAATAAACAATTTAGTTATTTGACAAACACTGATTTTTTCTCTCTTCCTCTAGGTGTAACTACAGGTATATCTTCATAATCTGAAAAGACTATGGCAAGAATTCCTCAGAAGGCCCCTTTAAAGCCACCCACAGAGAAATGATATTTCTACTTTTCATTCCCGTCTTCAAAGAACTCAATGAACAGTAACACACGGAAACAAAGGGGCTGGACAATGAGAAGCACCCTTACATTGTATCGGGCATCTAGGCCGCCACAGCTCAGCGGCTATTTCTGCTGCAGCCTCAGGTCTCCATTCACATATAACTGGGATCCAGGGATAGCAAAGGAAGACTGAAGAAATGCCATGCTCTGCATCACGAAGGTTGACATCCTCTGAAATCATTAGAAGGACAAACAATACCAACTGCCATCAAATCTGAAGGGTTCTGGGTGGTAACAGTCACCTGTCTTGGCTGAAACCTAAGGGGCCCTCACATACCCAGCACAGTCATACAGGAAACACTGCCTAGAACCTTCTGAGCTATTAATAGCCCATATTAATTAATAGGACTCCAGTGAAAAACATTTGACTGGCCTAAGCTATCCCAAACTATATGGGGAAGAGGGCCTGCTATGGTGTGCGTCTTCCAGAAATCAGAAGAAGGGCTCTGGTCTATGAAAAAGACACAAGACAGAGGACAGCCTCCCAGCGGACTGACTCACGTGTAACTGATAGGAGAAAGTCAGGATGAGCTGCACACCGAGAATGTGCTCCGTAGACTGCAGGGGAAGCTCCAGCTTAAAATGTAACATGTCCATCTTCCCATCCTGGTTCCTGTCTTCTTCTCTAGTCTAGGAAACCCAAACAGGGCCAGCAGCCCTGGTCATTAATGAGTCTGGGAGGGATCCACATCACTTCTACACATACACAATGACCCACGGTCCTACTGTACACAACAGGCGTTATCTTCCCCACCAAAAAAAAAAAAAAAGAGAGAAAAATAGACAGGGGTAAGTGCATTAATATTGGGGAAAGAGATAAAAAGTGCATAGTCCCTGAACTTCATACGTGAGTCAATCAAATGTTCACTGGCCAAAATAAATGGGAACTTGAAGTGGCAATAATAAGACAAGAAACATCTGGATAGCATTTGTCTCATTTTATCCTGTTTTTTAAAGTTTTTAAATTTTATTTCTTTAAAGAGATAGGTTCTCCCTATGTTGCCCATGCTGGTCTTGAACTCCTAGAGTCAAGGGGTCCTCCTGCCTTGGCCTCCCAAAGTGCTAAGATTATAGGTGTGAGCCCCCTGGTCAGATCAGATCTTGTTTGTTTTGTACTGGTGTTTTTTTTTAATAAACATGCCTGGATTTGCATGGAAAATTGGAGTATCAGAATTGTCTTCTACACCTCTAGAAACAAGTTTTTAAATTAGAAAAACACATAATCCTTATCATTATGCATTCCCCCAACAAATTCAACAGAAAATCATCAAGCTCTATTATACATTCCGAAACCACAAGTGTCTTTGCTTCGGATTCTTGATGTTGGACTTCATCTCATCAGGACTTGAAAGCCTTGTGGATCTTTTCGTACCAATCAATGAAATGAAAAAGGAAGCTAAGTCAAATCAGCAAAGCATTAAAACCACATCTGTATGATAAATTATGGGCATGAAAGAAAAAGAAACAGAGATCTGTGGAGGAAAACAGGACAAATTATAGCTGATGAAGCATATGTAGGCAGTGAGAAAAAACTGGTATCCATTCCCACCATCCAGGCTGACCTCACAGTGATCCTAAAACGATCAGCAGGAAAGGACGGCAACTGAAAAGCAATCACTGCTGACATGATCGCTCTGCACAACTCTGGACCTTTTTGTTACCTGGACGTTTTTGCTACAACTGTTCCTTTCCCAGTGTAGTTCCCAGAAGGATTCTACTGTGGTGTAGCAGCATTCCCATCTGGATCCCTGAACTACTGATTCATTTTGATTCTCACAATTACTATTATATGAGGAAAATAATTTTTGTACTTTTTTGGACGAAAAAGGTCATTTGAGATGAAGAAATCTCAATTTTCAGAAACTTTCAATTATTTTTTTCCTTCTAGACAATAATGTCCTTATTCTAAGTCTTGTTTTAGAGAAATCTCCCTCCCTCTTCTCTTGGATACTTCCTCTCTGCCCTGTTTCATCAGCTTCAGTGAGGGGTAGCTGCTACCAGGGCTGATGATCAAGTTACTGAGGCAATGATGGACTAGTCATTATGAGTAGGATGAAAAGAGCCTGCCTTGTCTTCCTGTGGATTTTCTTCAATTGGGATCTGGGTAGACAATGTTGTGTAACTCTCTTTGATGGATCCACGCCTTCTGGATCTTTAGGGTTAAACAGGAAGCAAAGATCACATTTCTCAACTTGCAGCAGAGGATACTGGCCAGGAGACAACTGCCAGAAGAATCCAGGCTCCAACCCACTGTGGGAGGAGGAGACGCTCATTTCCTTTGATCTTCACTATAAATGTAAAGCCCCAGGAAGGCAGAACAAGTATTTTCCCCATTATATAGATAAGAAAATCAAGGGTCAGGGAGGTTAGGGCATTTATCAGAGATACAGCAAGTCATGGTGAAGACAGAATTTCTGATCAGGTCTTCAACTTTAAATGTGATATCGTTTTTAGGACATTTTTATTTAAAAATTCAAAAAGAAGATGGTGCGTTGGAGAACTCTTTTTGCAAAACGGCAGCGCCAGGCATCAAAGTCTGTACACTTGCCTGTGTGCACAATTCTGCTCCAAGTTCAGAGAGGAAAAGAGATCTGGCTCAGCACCAACAACAGTATCTACTTGTTAAATTCACTTATTAATGTGCTGCACAGTTTTTGAGGCGCTACTATGTGTCAGGCACTATTCAAGATGATGAGAATATAGTGGTAAACAAAATAGTCTCCATCCTAGGAGCTTATGTTTCCAATCAAGAAAACAGAAAATAGATTAATAAATATGCAACAATTTCAAATAGTGATGAGTGCCACAAAGAAAAATGAGACAGGCTAAAATGAAATAATAATTAAGGTAGAATTTAACAGAAAGTTTTGTTATTGTTTTTTTGTTGTCGTTTTTTTGTTTTTTGAGATGAAGTCTCACTCTGATGCCCAAGCTGGAGTGCAGTGGCATGAACTAGGCTCCCTGCAACCACCACCTCCTGGGTTCAAGCAATTCTCCTAAGTCTCCCAAGTAGCTGGGACTACAGGCATGTACCATTCTTGGTGTTTTGTTTTGTTTTTTAAGTAGAGACAGGGTTTCACTATGTTGGCCAGGCTGGTTTCGAACTCCTGATCTCGTGAACTGCCCGCCTTGGCCTCCCAAAGTGCTGGGATTACAGGCAGGTGTGAGCCACTGTGCCCAGCTTAACAGAAAGTTTTACGGAAAATATGCAGGATAACCTGACTTGTTGGAGGCCTGAAGGAAGTGAGGTGATGAGGGGATGGGGTACAAGAATGTCTCAGGGAAGAAGGATCTAGACTCACCAAGAGCACGTGCTCTGGGTGCCCGTGGGGCCAGTGCAGCTGGCAGAATAGGTGAGATGGAGAGCACGGCAGAGAGAGGGGACACAGAAATGAGGACACAAAGGGCAAATCTAGCTAGTGACAAAAACAACCTGTCACTAGCTAGATTCACCCCACGGGCTAGCAAAGGTTGGCTCTGTTATCACTTGTGCTACTGAAAAAATCAATTACTTAATTCCATTTAGTTGAAAGTAAGCCTAACACAGGTGCAACAGCTACAAAGGCAGGCATTCAAAGGCTACTGCTTCCTCAACACAAACTCCAGGTCAATATCTAACCTCCCACTGGTGCCTGGACAAGAGAATTCACAAATGACACAACCACTTTACATCTACAAGGTATGTACAGGATTTAAAACATTTATTATACCCACTGATTGTCCCATGTGATCCTTCCACATATCCCAGGAGAGAGGTGGGTGCTCTCATGCCTAGGATATGGAGAGAGAAATTTGTTGTTTTATTTTACGGAGGGGACAGAGCATCAGTTGAACTACCACATGAACTAAATGAACTACTGCCCTTCCTCCAGCAATTAAAAAAGCTACCTCTAGTCAGTAGTGTCAATCAGAAATTGAGGGCAGGATTCTCAGTTTTCAGGGTTTCAGGCCTCCACTTCTTACACAACAAACCCATATCCTCCTGCAGCTTCTTTTCTGGCTGCCATTAGGCCGGGAGCTACTCCTGCCTTCCACCACCCAGAGACTCACCCTCGCTGGCTGGCAGCAGCTCCAGAGGGAGCAGCACCTGCATCTGAATATTGCTTCTAACAAATGTGCACCTGCCAGAGCTCTGGCGTCAACACAAATCCCTCCTGCCTGGGCAGCTACTGTGGCCCTGGCTCAGTCAGAGCAGCCCGGCCTCCCAGCTGAGGCCCGCTATCCACCACCCACTGCCAGCTCCTCCCCAAGCCACAGCACAGGACCATGCTTCTCTTCCAAAGCAGAAAGACCATCTTCTATCCCAGAGTCCTCACCTGCCACTCCCAAATCAATCTGACCCTCTAACCACCCAAACACCTAGTCTGCGGAAAGTTCTATGATGGCACCAGGAATTCACTGCCCAAAGTGGGCAAATGGGATGCAAACCTGCCTCCGAAAACTCAGACTAAGGCCAGGTGTGGCGGCTCACACCTGTAATCCCAGTACTTTGGGAGGCTGAGGCAGGTGGACCACCTGAGGTCAGGAGTTTGAGACCAGTCTGGCCAACATGGTGAAACCTCATCTCTACTACTAATTTAAAAAAAAATTAGCTGGGTGTGGTGGCATATGGCTGTAATCCCAGCCAGCTGCTCAGGAGGCTGAGGCAGGAGAATCACTGGAACCTGGGAGGCAGAGGTTGCAGTGAGCTGAAATTGTGCCACTGCACTGCAGCCTGGGCAACGGACTTAGACTCCATCCCCCCACCCTCTGCAGAAAAAACCACCACCAACAACAAAAAAAACAAAAATTAGTTGGGCATGGTGGCGCACTCCTGTAATCCCAGCTACTTGGTAGGCTGAGGCAGGAGAATCACTTGCACCCAGGAAGTGGAGATTGTAGTGAGCCGAGATCACACCACCACTGCACTACAGCCTGGACAACAGAGCGAGAGTCCATCTCAAAAAACAACAACAACAAAAAGAACTCAGAATAGTCACCACTGGCTGCTGTCTGCCCCCACTGACCTGAGACCACCCCCTGGACCCCTGCTGTGGAAGGCTTCTGCTGGAGCTGTGATAAGCACTGCTTTTCGCAGTAATTCGAGGCACTGCTGGAGCCTGGCTTCTTACTGGCTGTCCCAGAACCAGAGGGGCAGTGACTAGGAGGCAGCACCCTGATCTGCCAGAAACACATGAAGCTAGAAACTCCCAGAAAAGTGGGTCTGGACACAAGTGTGCCAACCAACTACTAAGGGCTGAACTGTGTGCTCCACAGATTCCCATGTTAAATATGATAGGGCTGTGGCCTTTTAAGAGGAAGAGATCTCAATCTCCTGATATGTCTCTGCTATGTGAGGACACAGAAGGCACCCAACTGCAAGTCAGAACCCAACAATGCTGGCACCCTGATCTCAGACTTCCAGCCTCCAGAACTGAGGAAACAATGTCTCTCTCTCTCTCTCTCTCTCTCTCTCTCTGTGTGTGTGTGTGTGTGTGTGTGTGTGTGTGTGTGTGTGTTTAGAGACATAGTCTCTGTTACCCAGGCTGGAATGCAGCGATTGATCATAGCTCACTGCACCCGTGAACTCCTGGCCTCAAGCAATAGTCCCACCTTGGCCTCCCAAAGTGCTAGCATTACAGGTGTGAGCC